CTCCGTTCCCCTCCGCAGCTACCGGAGACTGGCCTTGAAGAGCCATCCTTTAAAATGCAAGGAGCCCTGGGCGCCCAAGAGGTTCAGGGAGCTGGCGGAGGCCTACGATGTGCTCAGCGACCGTAAGTGGGGGGACGCTTCTCTTGGATGGGGTCTAGGGGTAGGAGGGGCTGGACAGGGGCTGAAGGGTTTCTGGCGTGGCCGAAGGTGTGCCGAGGCCCGAGCCCTGCTCACTGGCACCCCCAAGGAGTTGGTGTCAGCTCTGTGACCCACAGCCAGGCGGAGAACTGGCACATGCTTCTGCTTCCATCCCGCCTATTGCTGTTCACAAGCTGGTGGGGAACCCCCTCTCCAGCCTGCATCCTGGATCTCAGGCTCTCCCCCAGCATGGGAGAGTATGGCCATTTTCAACTCCTTGTTCCCTAAGCCATGAAGAAAGGCATCTACGACAAGTTTGGAGAAGAGGGGCTCAAAGGTGGCATCCCCTTGGAGTTTGGTGGTGATAACCCCTGGTCCGTTGGCTACGTGTTTCACAACAACCCTCACAAAGTCTTCAAGGAGTTCTTTGGTGGAGACAACCCCTTTGCGGGTAGGTGGAGGGGCTCTGGTGGGTGGCCAACACCTTGTTTGTGGCCTCTGTGGTGCCGGAGTCACCACCAGCTCTGAGCTTTAAGCTTTACAGGGATGTTTCCCTCTGTAGCTACTCTCTGGTGCTGCTGGTCCCCAGTGCTTGGAGATTAGATCCTGACTTCCCCCAGACTCGGGTGGTGAGAGGCCTAGGGGTGCATGTTCAGCTCTCCCCAGCTACTGCTGTGACCCTTGTCTTGGAGGATTTACGTAAAAAAGAGGGGCCAGGTTGGTGAGGCTGCTGTAAACACATGAGCAAGATAAAAACACTCCCGGAGGAAAGCCTTCAGCTGGAGAGGGAAGGTGAACCCTGGCAGAAGCAGATGGGAGGTTTCTGTTTCTGAGTGGTATATTTGGGATGCTCATCTCCCATGGTAAGGAGACCCCAAGGACACCCTCCGACCTCAGATCTGAGGGAGGTGATTCCCCTGTGTTCACTCATGCAGAGTTCTTTGCCGAGGATGGCTCGGAGTTGATCCTGCCCTTCGGCGGGCTGCAGGGGCGAGGAGCGCTGAAGCAAGACCCCCCGATCGTGCGGGACCTCTACCTCTCCCTTGAAGACCTGTTCTATGGCTGCACCAAGAAGATTAAGATCTCCCGCAGGGTAGGGGTGTGGGGGTGCAGGGGGCCACGCTTGGCAGGGTAGGGAATTTTGGGCTGGGCTTTTCTCTCAGTGTAGGATGTTGTGGCAGCGGAGCCTGAGGCTTTAGGGCTGGTCCCACTCAGGGGGCTCAGCAGGCCCATGTCTGTGCCGTGGGGAGGGGTCTGAACCAAACCCCATCAGAAATGCTGTCGGGATCCGACCCAGGACCCTCCTCCCTTGGCTTGGCAAAGGGAGTTCAGCAGGGGAGCTGCGGGGAA